AAAAACGAAATGTATGGCATAGTGTAACAGATGCAAAATTAAATGCAGTTTTTGCCAGAATGCTAACACGCGTATTTCCCAACTGCATCAAGTATTTCTAGCAGAAACGGAGAAATGTTCTAAATCTCCTTGTACTGTTTCTTTGCTGTAGGAAAAACCGCGGATGAGGACGACAACACCAAGGCGGAGGCTGCCAAGATGCAGAAGGAGTATGAGAACCTGAAGGACTCAACCAAGGAGGAGCAGCGATCCACCGAGACCAGTCAGTCCACTTCCTATTCCTGATGACCAGACGAAACATGAATAGCTTTCTCTTATTATATATTATTATTTGCTATAATAATTGAATACTATTTACCAATTTGCCCCTCAAACATCATAAACAATGTGCCTTGTGAATTGCATGACTTGTGTTACTTTAGTTTTTGTTTCATTTCGTTTTTTTGCATTATGCTTTCACTGTTTTGTTTTGTGTCAAATGTCCCAAATAAATGCAGATTGCTCAAAAATAGAAGATTCCAACCACATAAATTCAATTAAGCAAAAACATTGTCTTCACTGTCCCTCAACAAATGTTCATGTTATGTTCAAAATTCAGTTTTAGATTGTTTTCACTCAGCAGGGCTGACAGGAAGTAAACAACTCTGTGTATTCTGGCCAATCACAGTTAAGTCTCTGCGCCCCCTGAACTAGGCCAGTCCAATAACACTGACCGAAAAGCTTCTGACAGCTGCCATTATTCTCTGTCCTTGTACACTGTATAGTAACGGTTTATCAGGGTAATCCACACAAACACGCATAAAAAAAAAAAAACAACATAGATAAAGATTACCAACATTACATTCGTTTCAGTCAATTAAAATGGGATATTGACGGTAAAATGGGGGGCATGTTATAGAGTCCAACTTTATTCTGTGGTTATGCAATAGTTTGATTTATGATTTGAAAAACTGTAGATATATCAAAACACTTACTGTAGCTACCTTTCAGCAATAAATGCCGAACCTGTGTTTCTTTATTATGCTGATAGTAAATATAATTAAAAAAGTAAAATGCTGTCTCTCAGTCTGCTCCTTTTGCAACAAAAATGTAAATGTTAAAGCATGAAGTATTGCTTTAGGAAGAGTTTTGTGGTGTAAATATTCTACAAGTGTAAAAAAGCATATCTTACTTATTGTGGAAACGAGGCCCTTATGTGTAAATGAATAACAGATCTAGAAATAGTTAATTTTCCACTTTCTAATACATTATTTTCCCCTTCTCTTTCCAGATCAGCCTGGCAAATCAGAGACTTACCTGGAGGCCATCAGGAAGAACATTGAGTGGTTGAAGAAACACAACAAAGAAGAAGGCAAAGATGGTGAGAAACACTCCCTAACCAAAACATGTACATTTCAACCGGTCACCTTAAACTGATATCCCTTTTCTTATGTGTGAGTTTTCATAACCAGACTAAGAAAACCACGTCATCTTCATTTGCAAACACTTGTCTCCTCACTTATCTGTGTTTTGCACAGACAGGTCAGAGACGACGCACTAAAGAACAGAAAATGTGATGCTTCTTTTGTGAGACCCCAATTTGCAATTAAAATGAGTGTGGGATACCAGGATAGATGCTTCACTCCAGATCTCATGAATATGGATAATTCTTGATGAGTCTGTCCTAATTACTTGCTGCAGCTTCCTTGTTCAGACACAAAGGGCTATTCATTTGTCCTACCTGTTCCTCTACATTTATGTTGTGTGTGCAGTTGGGCGTGTGAGAGCGTTTAAAAAGGGGAAACAGTCGTAGATATTGAATAGTTCACAATTAGCATTTCTATTACAACAACACAAAAAAGCTATTAAAAGAAAGAAGACCATCACGTCTTTGTCAACGTCATGCTTGCTTGCTCTCTGAATGTATATTATTGGAGAATGTACATTTATATGTACTGCTTTAAACATACTGTAACTGTCAGCATTAAAAAAAAAAGCAGTATGTGACCCAGAAACTGCACCAGTCTGCAGAGCTGTGAAAACTGTGAGCTCCGGTCTGACAGGAGAAGCCTGCTGTTTGGCTTTCCACAGTGTCAAAATCAATTGTCCAGTGGTGCTTCATTAAGCAGCAGAGAATGAAATGTTAATGAGTTCTCACTATTCAGGCCATCCATCTACTGTTGATCATCTCAGCGGGACATGTCGGAGTAAAAACCCCAAAAGGTCTAACTCAGTTTTATAAATACTGCTAAATATCAGTTGTCTGGTCTCATCTGAGACGTTCAAAAATAGATTCATCCCCTCCTGAGTCAGAGAAACAAGAAAAAGACACAAACAATTAAGATAAAACAGAGTTTGACCTAGATTCTTCTTGTTGGCAACTTTAACGCAGAAGAAGAAAAAAAATAGCTCACACTGAGCTTAAACTCCTGCAGAGTCCGGAGCCGAAGCAGCAGGGAAGTTTTGTTTGGGGCTCATCTCCAACCTTGCTCTATATAGGCCGCTTCATTAACATTCTGGTGCGTGGAGCGGTTGTCTGGGACAACAAGGGGCCCTTCCCGCCTGCCAGTCAGTGATCTGGGCACAGAAGACAGATAGATAAGGGTCACAAAAAAAACACAACTTCATACTGAGTCAAAATGTGCTCCCAAAATCACCCAATTTTCCCCGAGGTGGCACTCTCAATAGCTGTAATAACGCACCACTTTTATAATACTCTTTTCAGCACATTAAACCTCATCCTTATTATCTCTATTTTCCCTCCCTCTTCAGAGAAAGTACAGCTGGAGGAGAACAAAAGCCTTTTCAACCAAAATGTAGTGTCATAGTAACAGAGTGGGCCACGGGCCATTTATTATGTTTACTCTATCATAGGCACTCATTAGGACAACCTCAGCAAGCTATTAGTGTGTGCATCTAAATGTGTGTGCGTGTGTGTGTGCCAATGGAGCAGATGGACGTCGAAGCAACATCCTTGTTTTTGCCTTTTGGCTCCTCGCAGCCAAGATTGAGAGAAGCAGCGCTGTCTCTAATCACATTCAGTTAATCCCTCACAAACATCCTGTTTGTCAGCTGCACAGCAACACTGTATTCTTGCTGCTGTTCGAAATGTCCTTAGAAAGGTTATTGTGGGACTCCTTGGCTGTCTTCTGCCCTCCTGCTCCCCCTGTATCAGAGTCGGTCAGAGCAGGAGAAATGGTGTGACAGCTGTTTGCCAACCTGCTGTCTGAAACTAATTTGTTACCATGATTCAGACTGAGGTTGTATTTATCTCTAAATATAGCCACATCCTTCTGCTGCCTTTGCTTTGTGAGATGACTGATCCAAAGCAAAGGGAAATGGTGCTTCAATGGAAAAAACATTTTGAACCTTTCTTCAAGATTAGATCACAAATTAACAAGTCTGTTTCCAACTTGTTAAAGACTTTATTATCTTAGTAAATCTCAATATTTACAAAGGTCAATTCCATAATAGGAAGCCATTGATTTAAGATAAAATGCAACATTACAGACATACTATAGTAAGCTCTCTATAAGCCTTTATCACTATGATATGATACAGTTTATATTTATTGTATTGTCTGAATTGCTGAAACCGTTTTTTTCATGATTTATTGACTAACTGGTACAAGATTACTGTATATGCTTATTGTTTATTGCACAATAAAGATAAACAATTTTATTTTTGTATTTAATTAAAGATGTATCACAATCTTTTAGTATTTGAGAAACTGAGGACAATTAACACATAAGAGCATGGCTATCATGTTTGACTCTGTGCTCTTTCGGCCTTCTTATTATGTATGTGCTCTCTTGTAGACCCAACACAAACATGCTATGACCTTAATCCTCCTTGATAATGAATTACCACACCAGATTACGTTGTGTTTGGGTGTGCTGTTTTAAGAAGTCTAATGTCTGATCTATCCCACCAACTACCACGATCTCCTGGTCTTTATCTTTGATTGCATCTCAGATTATAAACCTGTCCTCTGCTTTATCTCTCTTTCCAGATTATGACCTGTCCAAGCTGAAGGACTTCATGGACCAGCAGGTCGACTCCTACATTGACAAAGGCATTATCGCCAAGGATGAAGGCGACACAATTAAGAGGATCTACAGCAGCCTGTAACACCATCACCCATCCTCCCCCGACCTCTGGCTTAACACAGGACTGAATCTGACACTTACATCTCAAACAAAACCCTGATACTTAACGTTATTTCCCATGGCATGGTAAAGTATATACTGTGTATTCAAAACTACCTGCTTAGGGAACTTTTTTACCCTCCCAGACATTCCTAAAATGTATCCAGGAAAGAGATTTAATAACGCTCTCTTAAATTGTATTCTTTACAGCTACCTAACTGATTATATTTGCACGCCAAGATTGCAGAGTAATAATAGCTACAATATTAATGAGAGGACATTAAGGTATTTTATGTATCCAACTCACACATGCCATTAAATGCTAGCATTTACTCCAAGCTGACTCCTGCAGGAAATTAATGTTTTGAGAGTATACTGCTGTAGTTTGTCGTCCACCGTTTCCAAAACTGTTTTTGCAACAACATGCACATATATTCAATTGTACTCATTCTGTGTAACCTGTCTTAGCCTATTATATTTACTTTTCCGGTGTACACGTAGGATCTTAATGTATTTTTTTCTTTTTCCAAAAATATATTTGTTGTTGTCATGTTAGTGCCCTCCGTACTCCCGTTATGTTCTGCTGTAATACTACTGGGGGCCACTAGGGGGCCATGTTTCTATATTCAATTCACTCTGCATGTCTCTGAGTTCAACATTTCCCTCTTTGTAGAGACTCAAGATAAGTATTTTTAAATGTAAATATTTGTGATTCTTTTCCTAAAGGTTAAAAGCAATTAAAACGTTGCCTTTTCTTTATCTGTGTCTTTAAATGTGACAATGAAACAGCAGTGAGGTGAACAAATCAACAACTGACATGTTCACTGACATGTTCACAAATATCATAAAATCACATGAGATCTTCACATTTGGTTTAATTACATATTTATTATTCCCAAATAAAACCGAAATAATTTAAAAGCACAATAAAACAGCTGTTACAGACAGTTCTCCACACATAAATAATTCATTCACACTGCAAAAATAGAGCAGTCCCTTCTTTCTCCTGAAGAAAAACAGCTTTTATGAGGCAAATACATTGCGTCCAAAGGCGGGGGTCCGTGTGTGCGGTGTGCTCAAACAGGGGAAACACTGATGAGGAAGGCCTGAATATACTTTCCAATGATATTATTCTAGGTCGGGGATTTAGCATCAGAAGCGGTTAGCAAGTCTAACAAGCTAATCCCTCTGGAATCGCTTAGACAGACAGAGCAGGCGCGCGCTGTCTGTCTGTCTGTCTGTGTGTGTGTGTGTGTGTGATGCAGCAAGTGGAAACGTACAGCAGCTTCAGAAGTGAATGATGAGAGGATGGGCACGTGGGCTCAGATATAAATATCCAATGCTCCTCCGTGCTGTTAAGTCTCCAAGTAAAACTGTACAAAACAATGACAATCATATACACATCATAATAATATCAATAAATAAAAAGGCAAACATTACACTTTTCGTCAACATGGTATGGAAAAAGCAAACAGGTTAAGAGAAAAAACAAAGCGATGGAGTATGGTAGTCTGTGAGCATGGCTGTGTCTGCAGTAAACAGACTTGTTCTTTATATCTCCTGATATGACGAGGAAGGCGCCGTGTAGTCCTCCTCATTGCTCCTACGGATGAGAAAGAGATGGATAACCTTTCATTTACTTTGTAAGATTTTCACAGTGACAACCCATTTTTTTCACAACACCACACACACACAACACACCTACACACACACACACACACACACACACACACACACACACACACACACACACACACACACACACACACACACACACACACACACACACACACACACACACACACACACACACCACACACACACACACACACACACACACACACACACACACACACACACACACACACACACACACACACACACACACACACACACACACACACAGTCTTTAACTCTTTTCACTCAGCTTAACAAGTCCCCGCAGATTCTAGATGAGCGTACTGCGTGTGAATATTGGATGAAGCCAACAGACGTATTGTTCCCCGCTGACAGATGAAGGCTCCAGTACAACGCGGCAATGTCTCGAGATTGATCGAGAATTTAAAATGTTCGTAACTTGCCATTCTCTGAGAAAAACTACGTCATAAATGCAGGCCGTCACCAAACCCTTAATTGAGAAGAATTTTTTTTGCAACTGTACATGTTCAAGGTCTCTCACAAGGTTTATAGAACAGTCTGAGGACAGAAATATAGACTGTTTACAATCAAAAGAGGATGAGGAGAAAGGTTTCACACAATGACTTTGCAGGAACAAATTGAAGAGAACAGAACAGGTCTATAATAATGTTGCTGTAAACCTAAGAAAACATCTTCTGGATGACAAGATCTTTTTTTTTTTAAACTGAAAAGATCTAGTAAGTGAATGTTTCCAATAGATTACAAGCCAATTTATTTCTTCCAGGAAGTAAACCTGAGTAATCTCACATCATTCTCTTATTTATACAACATTTAAGAGATGTATCCACTCTGTTAGAGATTTAAAGGGATATCTGTTAAAAATAAACACGGATGCTTGTCAGAAATTCAGAGCTATTGAAATATGTTATTTAGTTTACCTAAAGATGTTGGGGTTCTTATTTAGTTGGCACAATCCAAGTATTAAGATTCTGAAGCTGCACTGGCAGATAGGAGGTCTACAATTAATTTAGAAAACCTGTTCACAGACGGCTGTTGTTTCAAGACACCCCACCAACAGGCTCCAAGTGGGTCAAAACAGCTGAGCGTAGGCTTGAGGGAGTTGTATCAGATTTCTCCACACAGGTCACTGGCGCCAAAAGGGGGACCCGAGAAGCACGAGGACAAAGTGGCTCAACCCCAGGCTCTCCGACCCCGACCGAGTGACCCAGCGGACCTCTTATGCCGTCTGCCTGGGAGAAAGGGGGACAGCTTGTACCACGGGAGCCAGTGTGCGGCGGGGAAACCACCTACTAGGACCAGGGGACGACATCAGGACGGACGTGGCCCTGGCAGACGTGGACTACTCGGAAGCAGCAGACTGGAGAAGGAGGACCCTGGAGACATCTCTACAGCATCGACCCGGAAGCCGCCATCAGCGGGCCGGAAGACGAGGAGGAGGAAGACATCTCTCTAGCAGGCAGCCCAGAAGCTGCTGTCAGCGGATTGGGAGACAAAGACACGGCAAGCCAGGACGGCACAGGGAACTTGTCGAGGCAGCAGAGGAGTCTACTTCGCTCTGATCAGTTCTACCCGTGAAGGGAAAGCTGCATCTCCCCCTCCCTATTAGCTGTCCTTGTGGGCTATTCCTCCGAGGGGGGGGGGGGGGGGGCTGATGATTCTAGCACTCAGCTACCCCCTCATGGTTCCTTCACTACCATGGAAAGTGGTGTTCTGTCTCCATGAAGGTTTCAAGTACTCTAAATACCAGCTTCGGATGGATTTATGGACACAGTAGAAAAGAATGAGTGGGTATATTTCAAAATGCCTTGTCTAAGTTTATCTCTGGAGAAGGAGATAAAAAGGGGGATTTGTAGAGTTATATTTGTATTTATTCATGTTAGCAAACTATGGATAAGCTTAAAATGAGAATAATTTGGGTAAAACTGTGAGCTGGATTTGGGGCCTGTTGACATGTGTTTTTGAGGACAAAGGAAGATGGGGGAAGGTGAGAGCATGTCCTGATTTGCATTCAACTTAGAACAAGCTACAGTGGTTGTAATATTAAGAGAGGTCCCTTGGGTTTCTCTGGTGGTTATCAATAGTAGCAGTTAAGTGAATACTGTTCAAACAATACCTGTGTTTGTGTTTTATATTGATTTCTCTGTTTTATCCTTTCATAAATGTAAGGACTACAAATGGCTATAAACATTCTGGGCTGGTTGGAGTAAACAGGGTTTTATTGCTCTGTGGGGGAGGTGTAGGTATGCAGGCCTTGAGACCTTTTGTTGGAAAGTGAGCCTGTTTGGTTTCCTGCTGCGTTTCCTGCTGCGTTGCGTCTCCCAATGAGATGACCTGAAAAGATGACCAGCTGACCTAACACCAAACCCCTCCTTCTTACTCTGGTATATATCCGGTGGATCCCTGGCGTTCGGCCTCTTCTTCACATGCTGCCCTCGGGTGAAAGTAGCTCTGCAGTATGCGAACGAGTGCAGGAGTAAGCCGGCATTACTCCTTAAGCATTACAATATAACTGTAATATATCATGTTGTATTGTAATGATTGTATTGCATTGTCATATTGCCATTAAAGTAGATTATTGTTAAAGGTTACTTTGTAGATATGGATTCCTTCCTGTATTATAACCAGCTTCATAGGAACGCGCGGAGATTTGAAAAGCGGATCAGATATCCCTTTAAATCTCTAACAACTCCCACCCACTCCATGCAGAGCTAGTGAAGATGAGGAGTACGTTCAGCCACAGACTCATCCCTCCACGACACAGCACCAAGCGCCTCGGACAGTCCTTTGTGCCTGTAGCCATCAGGCTGCACAACAAGGGGTCAATAATGTAAAAAATAAAATAAAATCACTGGACATAAATATACACTGTTTCCACAACCCATGTTAATATATTAGTAGTAAATGACATTCTAATAGCCTCTGACAAGGGACGTGTCTCTATTCTTGTTTTGCTCGATCTCAGTGCTGCATTTGATACTATCGACCATGATATCTTATTGCAAAGACTAGAGCACTTAGTTGGCATACAGGGAACTGCTTTAGACTGGTTTAGGTCCTATCTATCTGAACGCTCTCAGTTTGTACGTGTCAATGATGAATCTTCCACGCAAACCAAAGTTAGCCATGGAGTGCCACAGGGCTCAGACCTATTTTGTTCACATTATATATGCTTCCGTTAGGCAATATTATAAGGAATCATTCTGTACATTTTCATTGTTATGCGGATGATACTCAACTATATTTATCAATCAAGCCTGATGAAATTAATCATCTAAATAAAATTCAAGACTGCCTTAAGGACTTAAAAACGTGGATGACCTTAAACATTTTGATGTTAAACACGACCAAAACTGAAGTTATTGTACTTGGCCCGAAGAATCTACGAAACAAATTATCTAAGGATATACTAACTATGGATGGCATTCATTTGGCCTCCAGTGAGACTGTAAGGAATCTTGGTGTTATATTTGATCAGGATTTATCCTTTAACGCCCACATAAAATCAATTTCAAGGACCGCCTACTTCCATCTACGTAACATTGCAAAAATCAGGCATATCTTGCCTCAAAACGATGCAGAGAAACTAGTCCATGCATTTGTTACTTCAAGGCTGGATTATTGTAACTCTTTATTATCAGGGTGTACCAAGAAGTCAGTCAAGTCGCTTCAGCTGATTCAAAATGCTGCAGCTCGTGTACTAACCAGAGTTAGGAAAAGGGACCACATTACTCCTGTTCTGGCTGCCTTACACTGGCTCCCTATAGAACACAGGATAGAATTTAAAATTCTTCTTCTTACTTCTTCCTTCTCTCTGTCTATACCTGTGTACTCTCATGTTCCGATTAACCCAGCTTCCCCAAATGTCTTTCTTTTTGGTGTCTGTATACGCCGGGATCCGGAGTCATGGATGATCCTGCGCTCCTCTGTCCTGGATCGCGAGCCCTGGATCGCGAGTCGTGGCTGTGGTCCTGGATCATAAGTCCTGGATGGATATCCTCGTGGATTCATCTTCCTATTATACACACATGCATTTCCATACATTTGGACTACCTATGTTGCAAATGTATTATCTTTTCAATTTACACACGGCATCTATTGCACGTCTGTCCGTCCTGGGAGAGGGATCCCTCCTCTGTTGCTCTCCCTGAGGTTTCTCCCATTTTTCCCTTTAAACTGTGGGTTTTCTTCGGAAGTTTTTCCTTGTACGATGTGAGGGTCTAAGGACAGAGGGTGTCGTATTGTCAGACTGATATTTTGTACAAACTGTAAAGTCCACTGAGACAAATGTAACATTTGTGATATTGGGCTATATAAATAAACATTGATTGATTGATTGATTGAGTAGTAGACCAAATATGTAGATAGATATGTCACTATATGTACAGATGTCCATTTTCACTTTAACTCATTTCGTACTTCATGATTTATATGACCAAATATCTATATATGCTGACAGTTATTTTACTCTTATTTTTACTCATCTCCTATTTCAAAGTCTTTTATTATTATTTTAATTTTTTTCTTGATTTAATTTTTTATTTTATTAATCTGTGTGAATCTTTGCTGTCCTGTTTTTCACACTTATCTTATATTGTGTTTCAACAGGGAGTCTCAATCTATCTATCTTTAACTTAATTTATATGACATTTGGTCCAAGGTGCAACCAGTTGAATTTCAGCTTACCATAAATGTACAGAAGGATGTGTTTGGACATCAAAGCCAGTGTTTCCCCTAGGATGGAGTCATAGCAGCGGTGCTAAGGCACGTGGTCCCAGCACAATATGAGCGCGGTAACACTTTACGGTAAGGGTACATGAATCATCATGAATTCATGCATGACTTAATGCATGAAAAAGCATGAATTCATTCATGTAGTACTCATGAACTATCAGTAATGTACAGGTATTAATGGTATCTCATGCATGACTTAATGCAGGAACAATACCTTAATTAATGCATCAACTAAGGTATCTCAATCATCATGACTTCTGAGTTCTTAATGATGTTCATGTCTTCTTCATATATATCTGCAATTAAAGTGTCAGGCCAAAAAGCTGACCAGTCACAGCAATTCCAAGTGTTGTAATCATGATTAACTAAGCATGACTTTGTCATTACTTCATCATGTTTGTGCCCCTTCAAATACAGTGGTGACCCGGTCAGTCGGTCATAGCAGTGCATGTAGTCTGTTGAATTCAAAGGCCTCTCTCTTTTCCTCCGTACCCAAATCTTTTAAAAACAGGGGTACAACGAGCGGATACAGATTTGCTGCCGATCTGACGTCAAATCGGCAGCGGACCCACAGAAAGTTGCTATCAGAAACAATGCCTGACGTGTTTTGGACGTAATCTCGTCTTTGTTTACATTAGCGAGCCTCGCTAACACTCAGAGCTAACCTGTACTGTGTTTTAAAAAGCAGGAAATAAAAAAAGGAACTCACCTTGTGATAAACCCGCAAGAGAAAAAGCATTTGAGCTCCATACTGTTTCAGAAATAATCTTTGATGTGGTTTAGAACAGGATGGCGTTTTATCACAGCAGAATTTAACTTTATCTCCGGTAGAATTCTGATCGCCTCCTCTTTTTTTTTTTTTTTCAAGCTAAGGACCCAAAATCTGCGTTTCTCTAACAGGGCTGCAAAAGAGGGGTATGAGCAGTATGAGGCATGGCTTCAAGAGGTGATCTGTTTGGTATTTTAAGCAAAAAACTTCACAGACATGTTTTGTATAGATATGGCCCTACAATATATTTTTCCAATATAGCATGATAGGTCCACTTTAATTTACATCAGAAATTCTTTTTTTTAATAATGGGACACTGGGTTCGGTCCGGATTGATTTGTAATTCGGTCCGGAGTTTGAGAAGCCCTGCGTATGAACATGTTTGAAATGGGGGGTGGACGTGGAAGATTTTTTTGAATATTTTAAAGTAAAATGCTTCAATCTGGTGCACTTTGAGCGCACAATTACTAGAGACCTGATCTAGGGGGTACAACTCTAAAACATCCATATGAAAAAGATCGGTTTACATTTTAATAATCAAATAAGTATATGAACATAACCAATAACCTACCATAGCCAATAACAAATAAATGTAACTTATTTTATTTTTGTTGTTCATTCATATCTTATTTTACCTAGTTAACATTTATTTATTTATGCATATTTTTGTATCTCTCCAACTTTAAACGATATTTTTGGTTTACTGTCCTATAGTATACATTGGAATGATTTCAAACCTGTTTTGATTTATCCTAATAATTATAAAGGAGTGCCTTGGAAATATGTGTTTACATAAATTGTGGTCAAAACGTTTGAGACCCACTGAGATAACTTAGACTAAAATTAACTATCTAAACACTCAAGACTCCTTTACCTCACTGAGCCTCTCAGTCTGACAGGAGAGCTCTCCTCCACCCTTGTTGTAGAAACATCTACTTCTTATATCCATTAGCGCAGCTAGCACCAGATTCTAATAACAACAGCGCCGGTACCGGTGCGCCCTCTCTCGCTCTCTCTCTCTCTCTCTCTCTCTCACTCCCACTTTGGCTGTGAGCTGCGGGCGCCTGATAAGCCAACATCCCCCACTTACATCACTTACAGCGCCCATCGTACAGGGCAAATGAAAAGTGTAACCGGGGTGAAAAGGGTGTTACATTTAGTTAATTATGAATGTTGTTACATCAAGGCCAAAAATTAGGATGAGCGCCAACGGTCAAAAAAAATGTTTCCCCTCCCAGAGCTAACTGCGCCGCTGCTATTTGTATATAGGGGAAACACTGAAAGCAAATGTTGACAGAGTTTATGGAATAGTGAATCAATATTGTGTAATGGCCAAATGTAAGATCATTATCACTGATCAAACTATGAGATATGTATACATATAGGGTCTTCTAAAAGAACAGTTATAGACCAGTCAACCATTCCCTACAGTTTAGCTAAAGAGGTTTGTGTTTTACTGCCTCAAAGGGGAGGAAGCCGACAGGCACACGGTCTGTGTTTGCTCTGACTCTGGAAACACGGAGTCTGAACACACAGCAGCAGCTCCACAGATAACCTTTGATGTGGCTGCAGTCAGAGGCAGGGTGTTAAACACAAAGCCTCGGCTGCTAGGTCAACATTTAAAGAGAAAGGAAAAACGTTTTCTGGCACAATCACTCAAGGTTTATGATTGTCATTAATCAAATCACAGGTCTAGAGTTACTGGCACATCATGACCACATTAAAAGGAAATGTTGGTAAGATATTATATGATAAGGAAATACCTGTTATAATATTGTAGGATAACATTAACAGTATTTAGTAGTAGGCTATATAAAACATGGACAAAGTTGTATAACATGAGGTTAAAAATAAATTAATATTTAGATGTTTAATTCCGTCATGAATCTGTATTCATGAATAAGAACATAAAACATATCCCCTTGATCATGTCTTGATTGTTACACTAGATCATAACATAACACTAAATAAAAACTGATTTACAGGATAAATGGCCACACTGAGCATCCTAAATGTTTAAATGTTGTGGTAGAATCATATGGATATGATTTGCTATTAAATGTTAAGTAGATTTCTTCTTTCAGGAGAAATTAAATGCTCTGTAAAATTGGTACTAAAACTCAGAGACAGTGGCCGGTTGATGCCACAGCAGCTGCCACCTGGCTCAGGTAGCCTAAGGCCAACAGGAAGTTAATTAACATAACGGCTATTCCTGTTAGCAAAACACAGAGCCCACCGTGGAAAAACAATATACACTCCATGTCTGTGGGGGAAACGTCTTCACTCTGACTCAAGAGTCCGGACCGAACTGATAGTGCCAACAAAGCTTGTTTGTCTATGAATGGGAGAATGCCAATCCATTACTATCTCTCTCCTAGCAGACGTACATGCTTTCTCAGTGTCAACATGCAGTGTCAGAAAGACGTGCTCAGGCCTGACTCAGCAAGCAACTTGTCCTCCTAAATATCTGATTTGTAGCATAACGTGGCATCGGACTAGAAGAGCAGGTTTGCAAAACCCTGATTCCTATCTTCGATCGTTCTTCTGTGGAAACATTTGAGCTTTGCTGTCTCTGCTGATATGGACTTCTGACAATCACATACTGAGCTCAGAGACCAGAGTACATGCCCCATTTCCAACAAGCGTTTCAAGGCTAAGATAAATTAAGTCCCAGTGTTTCTCGTTTAGTCAACAGACAGCCTCTTTAGTCTTATTTGGCCACTAGTTAACACCACTAGACCTTGTGTTAACCACAGACCTTCTTTCATCTGAAAAAACTGCATCTCGCCAAAAAACGAGACAAGGAAACCAGAAGCAAACACTAACAATACAGAGGCAAGATATCCAACTTTTCTCAAGACACACCTGAAGATTCTGGACAAATTAATAATGTATCCTCTCTACTTAAGACTATAAATGTGCTACTGTAACTTTGGTAGAGGCAGAAAAAGTACATTAAGGATGATGTGACCATCATGCTAACCAAAACGCAGAAGCACCATTTGCAGGCAGTCATCTTCTGTGTGAAACCTAACATCCAAATGAAATATGATATGATTGATGCTCAACAAGCACAAGTCTGATTGGACCATTATGGTAGAACTGGTGCAGGTGGCTTATTTTAATGTTTCAACATTCAGAAAGTGAATTACTGCCAAAGGGCTGTTATTAAAAAGGGTGTACTGGTAAGCAGAAAGCAGAAAGGAAGCAGTGGTTTGGCTGGGGGTTGTTCAACATCTCACCTTACTTCCTCTTCTTTCAGCTTCCACGCTGCCTGCTTAGATTGTTTAATTTGCAAGTCCAGTCTGTGTAAGAAGTCTTTGGCTGACAGCTCCTCTGGCTGGGAGGGTTTGGAGTTCTTAGGGGGCGGGGAAGGGGGTGGCGAGGGTCCCTCGATATCCTGCACAACTGAAGGTTTGTCTGCTCCCTGGCACGCTGCTTCACCGTCCCCATCAGGAGACTCTAGAGACAGTCCGTTAAATATGTAGCGCTTCTCTGACAGCACAGGGATGTTGAGGCTGTTCTTCAGAAAAATGCAGTCATTGCTGAACAGCTTGTTGACTCTCTTGATTTGCTCCATCTGGCAAATATGGGTGACAGCAGATATGACACAAATAAGTACAATTCCTATGACTTAGCTACTACCTTCCTTGTTTTGTAGCACTTAAAACTAAGAACTAAAGACCAAATCATCAACAACCTTTGTAAAGATATAAATATTTTTTTTAAAAAGTAAAATAAGATAGTAAAATAGGATATTTCCTAATGGATGTTTGTGAACACAAATGTGTATGTAATTAAATACACAAACTGGACCCTTGCATTTTGGTAAGCCAGGCTAAACTGATCATTTCGGGCATTTATAGTTGCCCCTCAGAACTGTCACTTCCTTTCCCCGGGATCACTGGTGTTGGCACATGGTGTGAAAATGAAAGTTGATTCAAGAAGTAGGATACCAAAAACATGAAGCGAAATAATGTTTTGGCTTTCACAGGCCTATTAGTTCATGTAAGGATAACTGTGGCTGTTAAAACAACTAAATGATCAAAGTTTTGAATGTGCCTGGGCTTATGTGTATTCTTTCTTCCTGAGATGAGCTGACATGGTGCCCTGACCAATCAATTAATTCAGAAATGTGCTGTTCACATGATAGCAGGAGAAAACAGCCGTGGTGTTTGGCTCTTCTTGTCAGGCTTAAATAAAGCTGTGAATGAGGCCTGATCAAATGCAATAAAACATATTTCATCGCATCTTGTTGTCAAGGTGAGCATCAAAGCATTGAGATAACATGCAGTGGTTGTTTGGCACCCTTACCGTCACACCGTATCTCAGAGCGATCCCTTGCAGGGTATCACTGTCAGTAACCCGATGCTCTATGTATTTCTCCCCAAGAGAGGCCGTGACGCTGGCTGTGCTCCCGTACGAGCGGATCTTGGTCCGGGCCAGACTCTGGGACAGTTCGCTCTCTGACTCGGAACCAGACCTGGACCGGGGGAAGATGGGCTGGCCGAAACGTCCTCCTTCCTCCCGCATCGACAGGACGGGCGAAAACTCCGCCATCTTCTCTTGAATAAATAAAGCGCCCAGTTACCTCAGTGTGTATCACCGCTCCGGTTCTCTCGCTGCGGGAAAGGGGACGCTGTTTCAGGCGGCAGGGAGACTTCCTCCCCCAGTCATATTCAGAATGTCAGCCCTGGGGAACAAATACATGTTTCGGGGAGCTCACGCTTTTGTCAGAGATCCGTTACGTTGACGTAAAAACGTCTAGAACGACAATAATACCGTTTCCGGTTACACTTTCAAAATAATACATATATTCATAAAAAGGAACCTTTGTCGATAGTTAAAAGATAAATATAGCCTACTGGTATATATTGTATGTAGTGCGATAATAAGAGTATGACATCGTGTTTAACTAAAACATGTTCTCCTGATAAAAATAATAGCTAACTTCCGGCAACGTAAAGTCCCTGGTATCATTGGTAAACTTTATGCAAGAAAATAGCAGTGAGTAAGTTATTCGCTCGGCACAAATAAAAGAGCAGTTTACAACATTTGATTAAGATTTGTACTGATTAATCTGTCGTAAAAGTATAGGTTTCCATATATTCCCTGACCATCCACCATGGATGTAAAATAAGAAGTTGAACGCCATCCACACATAAAGTCAAGTTTTCAGTGTGTTTAGCTCAGGGGTGGCCAACCAGTCAGAGGTTAAGAGCCACATTTTTTCTATGTTACTGCAAAGAGCCACATCAAACACACAGTCACTGATACCGCTTGTTTCAGTTTTTTGTTTTCTGGAGACAAGATTTCAACCACGTCACTGATGCATTTTTGTGGCATTGGGATATATTTTTTTTAAATCCTCTGGAGCAGAGAGAGGAGCTGTGGATTATTGTTATTGATTAATGCATCAGTGTTTCTTAGGGTCAAAAACACTAAACTCACAACTTAAAATGAAAGCGTTTAGTTTATTTAATAAGAGAGCACATGTTCAATGTGAAAAGTGACAGTAGTTATAGATTATTTGCAATTTGGTGCTATATATATATTTTTTTTAAAAAGTATATATATATTTTTTTTAAACACCTTGAATTTCAGGGGGGCGCGGGGCTCCGTTGGCGGGGAGCAGCGCCCCTCCAAGACAATGGCAGGGGAAACACTGGATAATGTTTAATCAACGATAGGTTTCCCCCCCCTCAAAGGTGATTGGTTCACTGCATCGCAGGTATTATTGTGATTGGCTCTTGGGCCACATCAAAATTATACGCGCTGTCATCCTCTCACACTGACACCACACATACACAACATACGGGACGAAAGTAACGGAGCGATTTCATCCGAGCCCAAACAATTTTGACCGGCCAAATTACGTCAGAATTATCAGCATTCAATACTTAACAGACCTACTAAATATCAGGTTTAACTGTCAGGAGTAGCTAGCTAGTGTTGTCACGATACCAACATTTTGGTTTTGATACCAAGTCAAGAATTGCGATTCCGATTCTTTTTCGATATTTTCTTAAAAAAAGGGAAACGGTCTTAAATGTAATTATTGTGCTTTATTTCATACCAGAACCATAACAATAACACAAACGTTTAAACAATGAGAACAATAAATAAAATAAATGACAAGAATTCGTATTAAATACAATTAATAAATGTCTTACAGACAGGCCTCGTGGTGTCCGTAGGCTTGCCCTCACTGTCAGAGATATAGCTCAAATACTTCCAAATTTCGCTCCTGGCGTCTTTTTTGTCAACAAGCCGAGGCGCAGTGGCAGCTGCACTCCCACTTGCAGCCATGCTTCTCGTTTTCTCACATGCTCTGGCAGCTAGCGCGTGCACGAGAGAGGGGAGGCACTTAGAGCGTGCTTGAGAGGGGAGGGACTTAGAGCGTGCTTGAGAGGGGCGGGACTGCAGGCACGGCTGCAGTGCAGGGAGTGGAAGCAGAGCGCTGAACCCACACGGCTCTTATTAAAACGGCGCTTTCTCACCGGAGTACTTTTCCCCGTCATTCTTAAAGTACCGATACTAATGAAACGGAGGAATCGTAACGTTTTTAACGGCAGGGTATCGCGGTACCTTTCAAGTATCGGTACACCGTGCAACACTAGTAAGGAGTCAGTGTCTCTCCCCCAAACTCACACATATAAAATTCGATATGAACTGAAGAGCCGCATGAAACTAGGCAAAGAGCCGCGGGTTGGCCACCCCTGGTTTAGCTGTCAAGATTGGCGCATGCGCACTTCTGGCTTGTTTTTTAAATTGTGTAAAATATTCAATACTGTGCTACACAAAATCATTTCTCACATTAATGGTCTATTACTGGTTATACTACAACAATGTTTAGAAACAAATGCTTGTGAATGATTTGGGGAATCTTTATTGTATACAATACTCAATTCCTTAACCTTCCCCTTTATGCAGTGTTAGTGCTACTTAATTCATGTCACACATTAATGGTTTTCTGCTGGTTATACTAGCTTACATCACCAACAGGTTAGGAAAACAATCTTTCCAGCTTTCCAGAAAGCTCCACCCTAAAGAGCGCTCTCCTTGATGGACAGAATAATTTCTACAATAAAAATTCACAAGAATTATTCTAAAGTATATTTACTTATATTCGAACTTCTCGTCCTCTACACAATGTTTGCTGTTTTGTTAGGACCAATTATTGCCCAAATACAAGCCTGGTTCCGGAGTGTTGGACTCTGATTTAATCTAGTGTTTTCATTTATCATAGCTAGTTGCTGTTAATTCAATTGCTCTTGAAACACATCAGGTATATAGTCCATCATTATTCGACTTCACTTTGGCTGGCCTCTGTAAGAGGAGCCTGGTTAACAATCCCATGACCAAACTGCAAAACTGTTTTTTTATTCTGGCTTTTACAATTCGCAGTACACTTTTATGCTAAACTAATTTTGATTGGATTTGTCTGGTGATATCAATGTTTAATTGTATGACACTGACAATAGCAAACATAAATTATATTTTTTCTACAGTTTGATGTGCAATAATATCCCTATCTTGTCTTTTTCTAAATGAGTGCACCGTGTTAGTCGAGAGAGGTCTGAATCTGTCAGACGTCTCCCGTTTCTCCCTCCTTACATTTTGTGACAGCCCTGTTAACAGTGGTTAACTTAGTTGATTGTATATTTGTGCTTACATCGGTAAATCTGTTTGTCTCTAGTACAAGGTTAAACTGTGGTTAACTTGTACCCAGGTGGTGTTTGTTACTGCCTATTTTTGTTGGACCTATTCCTTTTTTCCCCACTTTAGAAGTGAGGTTTTCTTTTGTTTATTTGTTTATTAGTTACTTTGTTTCGTGTTAAAGCTCTTATTTTAAGTCTTCCATAGTTCCCTTTTGTTTGCTATTTAAACCGGTGCCCTGGTGGCCTTTTGTTTTATTGTGGCCGTTCGTTGCAAATGTAATTGTGCTCTTTTATTAAAAAAAATCCAATTTACCACTGTCCAACGGTTATATGTTACTTCCCCCTTTCCACGAGCTGGGACGTAACAGCTGCTATGAAAACCTATGTATATTTGATCATTATGAGATATGTCAGTTAATCATTGTAGAATAGAAAATGAAAGACCATAAATGAACAAGATAAATCCTAGTTAAATAACCAAGTCATAACAAATAAAACATATGTGAACTTGGAGAGTACTGCTTTAATTATGTATTTATTACTGGGAAGTAGCTAGTGGAAACTTTGATTGCCCCCTGTCCCTGGTCCATGATTATTGAGATGACCAAATGGTGCTGAATACCCGGAGGTTGTTTCTCCTCTTTCAATCACTGTGTTAGGAGGTTAAAGCCATATGATTACTTACTCATATTTAAACAAAATGCTGGCTGTGTAGCAAGTAAGTTATGATGGTAAAAATTGTATTAACATACTAAGTAATTTAATGTAGTGTTGGTGAAAGGCAGTAATATTTAATTTAACTGGAACACAAAGACTACAGGTGCTACTTTAGGATGCACATTATGTTCCTCCATGAAATCTAACTCGCTGATAAATAAATATGAGGAAGCTACAAGTGGATTCATGATTTCTGAATGATTCATTTATTCAATTAGTCTCTTTTGGTTATACATAATCTCACTGTCATTTTCTAATGGAAATCTGTTCATTAAACTTATGTAAGGGTACAAAGCGAGGCCTACTGTCGAGGAGGGCGCTCAATGCATTAATTATACACAATGTGTTAGACTGAACTGCAAATCAGTTCATTGCGTTATATGTTGGATTGCTGGGGGACAAAAAAAACTATGTTTTTGTTTTGAACCTAAAGGCATTACAAATCTATGACTCAATCCCAGAAATAGTTCATTATGTTTAACATTTATATCTACGGTGAACCTCTGGGATCTACTTAGATGTCTAAACACCAACAGGAGATTCAATTAGCTGACCTACAGCGGGAATCAGATTACTTCAGTCTCTCTTTCTCTAAAAAAAAAGGCAACAAAGGCACGAAGAAGCAATAATACCATGAGTCATATCTAGCAATGTTTCCATGACAACTTTATTTTGCCTGCTAGTGATCTGACTGCACTCACATGTGTTGGGAGACATGATTTTGGATTAAATTCAATATCACTTTGACACGTAAGTCAGATGGGAGCCTTTTTGTTACAAGTATACACAGGTGGTTTCAAGTTCACAGTTGTTAAATCATCAAGTGTTGTCTATGGAACACAATCAAATGAAATGCATGCATCTACATCAGGTTCATGTTAGGAGAATGGGGTGAATCCATCAGCATACTGTCATAGAAAAGATGATGAATATGAGACACCTACCCTGCTGGGAACCGAGGAAAAAAAAGTGTCTTCCAATTTTTTAGGGTTAAAAAAACCTCTTGCAATTTAGACTTTTTCAAATGTAGTTTAATTTTAAATGTTACAGTATGTCCACTGTAGAGTACGTCAGGACCATTTTAGTGTGAAAAGACAGCCTCACTTAACAACTATGTAACGTATTATGGTTATAGAGTGATATTAATACAAGAATACTTTCACCTTTATTTAAACAATAAATAAGTAATTGATCTGAATATTGCTAAATATTTGATCACTAAAAAACTAGTTTGGTTTTTGGTGAATGCTGCCAAATCTTCAAAGACTTTGTAGTCAATGTAGTGGGAAAAGTACTTAATTGGACCCCAGTCTGCACGGGCTGTAGGGTCATCTTGACTAGTTTTATGGATGTGGTCTCCAGTTGACAATGCTCTAGAAACAAACTTGGCCTTCCTGAGGCAATTCAAATGTTTCATGGCTCCACTTAAAATAATAAACAACAATAAGACATACGTGGTACTCTTGGCCCACAGAGGGACATGTCTTTCCTGCTCGTCCCTATCTGTCTCTCTGTCTGTATCTGTGCGCTCAAGGAGCCTCCTGCATCTTTCCCCCCCTTCTTCTTGACCCTCTTCTATCCCAGGTGTGAAATCCTCATCTCTCTCATCATCAGCTCAAAATCTGAATCTCCCTGAACTATCTGGTACAGAAAATGTCTGCTTCAGTTCCGTCTCCTGCAACAATATTGAGTCATAAAGTCCATGAAGATGGTCCTGACGTCCACTAGAATGGACATTTATAAAAGAGCTGTTATTTGAAAACTTGAATTATTTAATTGCTTTCAGAACTAATTATATAGTTCCTCACATGTTAATAAACAAGAACAGATATGATTTTCATGGTAAAAAATAACAATTGATCAACAATATAAGACTACTATAAAATGTTGTTGTTGGTATGCCAACCATTTTGGTTGAAAAGAAAGAGAAACTTCCCCACATGCAATTTTAACCAATGACATATCACTGGAAAGCTCAGGATGTCCTCTGTACAGTAAATCAGGGATTGATAGAGTAGCTCAAAAGAGTAAAATTAGATGCATGTGAACAAAATGTCCACTACAGTGGACATTTATCAATGGGCTGGGACTGGGTCCCAGGAGACACCCACAGGACCTTTTTCAATATTGTCCTTAATAATTTATCAGTCAGTTATAGTCCGACCCCTACTGGACAGTTTGTGGAATTACATCTGTTCAAAGTCCCCTATGTTTTCAACCACCAGATGGCGTAATTTAATCGCCAGTCAATTCTGAAACCTTTTGAAACATAAATGAAGTGAAAGACTGTTTTTGATAATTGAATACTTTAGTGATGAGTCCAGGGCTCATTGATAAACATTTGAATATTGGAAATTAAGATTGTCTACACTTGTTGTCAACAAAAATCTAGAAAAAATTGATTATATTTGTTAAAGTGAATTACTTGGTTGGGTTTAGATAAATACAAAAAAATTTGAGTTTGTTTTCTCCAAAAGTATTGAATAATCAAAGCCATTATGAAAGACTGATGAACAACCATAGTTCAAGACAAAATGCTAGAGAGATCCATCCCGTCATATAATGGAAAGTGATTACTTTTTAGTCCAAGTAGTTCCTTAAATTAAAAAATGACATCATATTTAAAGGCTCATGGAGTATTTCAAGGGCCAGCAGTTGTTAAATAGTGCTGTTGATCATTGTTTTTCGACGGTGTGGGAGTTTCTGTTGGCAGAATCTGTTTTAAATGTTAAGGCTGAGAAACCGACCTATTTTTAACACAAGTGGAAGGAATTGTAATACTACAGGGCTGCTTTGGCTGCCTTGTAATAGAGGTAGCTGTTATTCCTGTTCAAATCTATTAATGCCACATTAGGCATATGTCTTCAAATCCACCACCACCTCTTAAATAAATAGATCTTTCTTCTTCTCCTAAAACATTACTAACTCAACAAGCCAGAAAGCTGCATCTTTTCAGGCTTAGGAGGATAATATCAAACACACACTCACAGATGTTGCTTCTCAAGGTGTTTTCAGTTAGGGCGATTACATAACCAGTCAGGTAAGAGTCAGTGTTTAGAGGACATCATTTCTGCTTCTTTGGTCCTGATAACATGTCAGCGCTCACCTTCTGGGGATTCAGCTGACATCTGATAGGATAACAGGGAATTTCTACTGCCTGTTATTTCTTCCATACCCGAAATTAATAATATTTCCTCCAAAATGAACATTATTACCAGTGCTAGTACTTTATTCAAAGATTAACAGTATACCAGTGCCCTTCCAAATCTCTCCTCTGCCTTGTTATCTGTGAGCCTTTGTTTACCAAGCACATGAGGCCATAATAGAGAGGGACTGTTGAGAGTTTTGATCAAGGTTTCTCTACACTACTCATTCTGATGGAAAATCAACAACATACCTGTGAAAAAACAAAGCTGCTCTGTGAAAGATTGTAGAGGGGGTGGACAGAGGCTTTAAAACACTGATATGAAGTTGTGGTGATATAAAGTGTTCTGAAACATTTTGCAGAGGATGAGAAGTTCATGCATGTGTGTACATTTACAACATCTGCTGTCTTTTTGCATCACTCTCTTTCATGTTGGGCTAACTCTGTTGAAATTGTTGCAGTACATTGATATTTAATAGGCTACTTGCAAGCGAACATCTAATCCATTCCCTGACCATCAGTTGTATTGATATCACATACAATCACACAGCCCATGCAAAAGTGCTCAGTAATATCATCAACGTCATGTTCTTTTTGTCATTATAAGATGGTGCATAGCTAGCTGTCTAATGATATGCTTGGGTTTGGATGATGCATTAGGCTTGAACTTCATGCATCACCAGATACTCTGCTTTAACTAGTAAACAGAGTATACTAGTCAATACAGTGTGCTCTCATCAGCTCAAACAAAGACATGGGTTGCGTTCCGATAATCCAAAAATTCTAACCCTATCTCCTATTCCTTGACCTCTGAGTGAAACGTCACGGGGTTAAGGGATAGTGGATAGGAGAATTCAAAAGGACTTAGGAGAAGAGACTGCGGTACTTTAGAGAATCCGAATGCACTTTCACTATCCGACGTGTTTATGATGCGCTAGCGGACGTCATGAATGTGCGTCTGCTGCTGCTATGGGGAAACTATGGAAACTACAGTTTTCTATACAGCGGACTACAACATGAATGTATAATAAGAACGAGGGACTACTGTAAACTCATCTAGAGACTCTGCACCGTGCTCTGATGCTGTTGCTTTATGCTTTATGAACGTGGACAACAGAGAAACATATTCTTCATGACCAAAGTTGGAATTGAAATAAAAAAGGAAAGTGAAACTTATGCTCGTTACCCTCTCCCTCCGGTCCACATTAATACAAATAATCCCAATACGTATGATTGTATGAACTATTAAAAGATCTTAAAAATAAATACAAATGTATTTATTATAAACGTTAGTCCTTAACATCTATCACTGTGTATATCACCATTCAAACATCTTTTAAAAGTTGAACAACCCCACACAGCTCACTGAAATGTTGACTTTATTTGATCATTTCAGTAAAAACTAACGTTCATATTTCTCTTTTTGATTATAATACTGATGAACGTTCAAAACAAAGCACTTTGGCAACTTGCCACATACGTTTTAAAATGCGTAATAAGCACCGTAACTTTCATGATATCATTTCTCCCATTATCGTTTGTGTCCGTGAACGGCCGACTGTTGAGTGACGGCAAATGCTGCGGCTGCAATGCATTGTGGGGCAGCATTTTCTCCTCTCCTTTCGGTTAGGGAGGTCCAGTGGTTCCTAAGCTAAAGGAGGTTATAAAGGAAGTTTGAAGCCTCCTTTCCTTTCATTTGGAGAATTGGAACGGCACTTATCATGGCTGCCACTGACGTACTTCCGGGTCATTTCACTTGGTTAGGAAGGTTCCTAAACTAAATGGACTATTGGAATGGGCCCCCGGACTAGAAACAGTTAGTTCTAGTGTATTTTTCCACATGCGGAGGAGCAGTGCTTATTAATAGTTTATGGTCTCTGCGGGCACAGTTGTGCTGTACTTATATAAGAACACAGCTATATATTTCACCGTTGGATTCTGGGTTTTTCCTTTGAAATCATGCCATCTGGGGTCATTGACAGACATGACCTAAACCTGCAGTTCTGCTTTTCTCTGTGCTCACAGAGTGGAAACACTTGAGTCATTCACTACAGCTAGTTCGCTGCCAGCAGTGCAGAGCTTTGTCTGGCGGCAGCTCTCTGGCACAGGAAACCCAGAGAGGGATGGACTCAAATACATGACATCATCTCTCAGGCATGTGCAAACACTCTGAAAAACTGGATCTGATTAAAGGGTGCATACACACACCACCTAGAGTACCTCTGGAAACCAAAAGGCCTCTCTACAAGTTATAAAATAACACATTTTGAACTTCAGTTTTGCCCACAATCGGCTTTAAATCTACTCTTCTGTGGAGATTTTAGTTTGTAGTTCCCCAGCAAATGATGAAGCTTGCTGACTTTGCTGATCAAATTACTTTTCCTCTTTTGCAATACGTTTGGTTTATGACCACATACCTACCAAATGACTAAATTGCCATCTGGCTCAACTGCACTTAGCGTGTGTCTTAGTGCTAGTCAGATAAGGAAGGTTAGCATTTCAGCATTACCACCATCTATCTCTTTCTACATATAAATATGTAAAATATATAAACAATTAAGTGGAAATTTAAGGTTCATTATTGACCTTGGAAATTCTCATTTGACATTAAAATGTTATCTTGTTATGTTAATGTTATTAAAATGTTATCTTCGCACTATTTCTCCGACTTAAAATCCTGTACAGCTTCCAGCCTGTTTTGGTGGCTTTAATCAGCAAATGCAGTTCGCCCCTTTGTCAACAACTGAGCGTCTCCATGACAACGGAGGAAACTCCATCGAAACCAACAAGATGAAGGACAAAGATAAGGACGTTTTGGAAAAGAGGAAAAGAGAAACAAATTGTAAGGAACGTAGTTTTATTTTCTAGAATAAAAGCTATGCAACTGGTTTAATATTATCTGCTGTATGAATACATTTTAAAGATTTATTAAGAAATTAATTAACACAATGGCACATAAGAGTATGTAAAAACATTTATTGTTGAGGATATCTTATATTCAGCAGTGCTTTTTGACCAGTCCTGTGGGTTTATAATAGTACATTTTCTTTATATTGAGTCAACATCTGGAGTTGAAATTTAAAGTAAAAAAACGAGTTGTGTGGATCTAAGTGGTACACACATAAAAACCTGTGTGAGTGTGTGCACTTTGAATTTGAGATGGCATTTTACAATTAATAATATACATATTATGAATCACAGACCACTTTTAACAAGCCCAGGCAAAGAAGCAGTTTTCCACTTAAGCTGACTGTCCACCATCACAGCACAGTAATGTAAAAACAAAATAGGTCCAAGAAGAAAATACGAACAGATATGAGCAGGTAAGAAGTACACAGATATAAAACCCAAAATTATTTTCCAAGGAATGTGAGGCTGTTAAGATGAAGGAACATTTTTGGTTGACAGAAACATGATGTGATGTTCATGCCAGCATATTGTTCCTATTACACACAGTATATACAAGTTTCAAGTAATCCTGAATTAGTCCTGTTAATCGCCTCTCAAGCAGGTGAGTGTACCTCAGGAAGTTCAGTTTGAGGCACACATAGCATGTTGTTATCTGTTACATAAGGAATGACATGCTACTGCTGAGAGCCAAGGGAAGTGTGAACGAGGGAAAGTGAAATTTAAGATCGAGGAGAAATAGTTCACAAGTAGCCGCAGCCTGTGTTCGCAGACTCCTCCTCACATCTCAGTGAACTACTTGCTGAAAATTGTGCTATAAATGGCCAACAACATGAAAATAAATAAAAATGTAATGGCATGATGTGATCTAAACAATGTCTAGATAATTGTTGTTTCCCTTGTGTGTACTGCGAGGAAGTGACTGTTGCTGACAAAGCCAAAATCAATAACCGTTACCATAGTGATATTAACCAATGCATGCGTAAGTCTTTGTCATGGTTAAGCATCAGAGAAACCCAATGTTACAGCATCCTTTGTAAGAGCAGGCAGAAGTTAGCATCCTGTTCTTTTCACAGTACACCTAGTTGTATTTCATGTTAAGGACATTTAAGGAATTTGAACAGTATGAAGATAAGATCTTAAGCTATAATGAAACCGTTAAGTATTATAAAACATTAAGCATTGATACGTACAGTATTAAATTCATGTAAGGGGGTGAGCCATCAGCTGTTCTGAGGCCTAACCGTTACACACACCAGCCGGATAAAGGAGATGGACCAACAACTCCAATCGACTACACCTGCACCCCCATGGTGACTTATGTTACCTCATGATACCTTATGTTATCGTACAGCTGTACAGTCGGATAAGGTTTGCAGTAGCTGTGTGTCTGTCACTTCCTGATGCTTAAGTCTTTCTAATGACACAATTTGTTGGTCTAATACGGGTAATATACTTGTAGCTTAGGCCTCAAACTATCATAGTAGAGGACTCTTAATGTTATTGTTTTTTGACAAAAGGTGTAATTGTTGTCTCTGTTACTTGGTCAATTTCATGATTACTCCACAATGATTATAGCGTAGTATAAAAGGAAAGAAAAAAACAATTAAAAAGTCTGGACAAATCGCATAAAGGCTCAAAAAACAAAAAGAAGAAGAAAGGAGCAGCTGAAATGGAATGACTAAAAGCTAATCAGATTTACACCTTCAATAACAACATAACAATAATAAACATAAGTATGAACATTTAAATGGGATAGGGCAATTCCAGTTAGTTCCCTTCTTCTCAGATGTATGTTCGGGTTGAGCATGCCTTGCCCTACTATTTGGCACAAGACTTAAGTTTCCACACAGTGAGATGAGACCAGGGCATTGGCTGAAATTATTCCACATGGTGAGATGAAACATCAGGATTGGCTGGGAGACAGCTCCGTCCCTACACGTCTGCTTCCACTCGCTTCTTGCGTACTACAGAGGAGAAGAAGAATGAAAAAGAGCGGGAATTTTTTTATTTATTTCCACAAAATCAATTGATTGACAGAGTAAATACTATAGAAATCAACAGACATGCTGCACAACCTTCAACCTACACAGGCCTGTTAGTTATCATGAAAACACTCAGTGAGTCCTGATGAGCTAGGCAGTCAAAGTTTAGATCCATATCAACAGCATGTGTCAGTGTGTGCAGGAAACAGGAAGTGAGGTGTCGTCACTCTTGAAGCTGTGTGATAACACCGTGTCAGTCTCCATACTTTGTTAATTCATTCAAACACTGCGATGCAATGACACACTTGCAGTCACACCCATGCATCAGACCTGAGCTACCGCGACTCTGACAGGATGAGGAGCTAAAAGAGAGCAGAGGCCGTCACTGAGGACTGACGTCTTGTCAGAAAGAATAACATTGTAGATACAGGTGCCAGGGAACTGCAGAACTGTTGACTCATTCTCCCAAAGACAGATATGCCAGGTGGAAGATGACATCATGGGAAACAACTCACTCAGCTTTGCAAGTTTGAACAAATCTTAAATGTGTGTGTGTGTGTGTGTGTGTGTGTGTGTGTGTGTGTGTGTGTGTGTGTGTGTGTGTGTGTGTGTGTGTCAGGTGAGTCATACCCAGGTCATTGTTCTTGGTCATAGCTGCAGCAGCTCTGGAGCGAGGTCCTTGCTGGTTGAAGCGGTAGCCAAACTTCACTACGGTGTTGTTTTGTTCCAACATTTTAGCCATCTCCATCTCTACAGTAGTACCCAGCTGCTGCCTCTGAAACACAAACAAATACAGAAGTCTGATTATCAGTCAGAGCCACTTTGGTTTATAATCGATTGGGAGTAACACCTGGTTCATACATAAGGTCGAGTTATGTTTTTTAAACAAAGCTTTATCAATACACAAAAAGAGTTTGAGGTGATTTTGTAAACTTTAGATTTTAGTTGACGTGTTAAAAAGGGAAAACTGTTTTCAAGCTTCCTTTACCCTATCCTCTTCTGGAAACTATCAATCGTTTATTTTCTTTCTTTTTTTTAAATCACTGCTTTTGCATTTTCTTCCAATGTACGCTGCATGACAAACATTTTCAACTTATTTAGGCTACTTTATTTAAAAATAATATATAATATATAGCCCTCCTTAGTCATAGGTTTGTTTTTTCAGTTTCTTCTCAACTATGAAGCCTAGGAAATTTCCAATCCTAGTGTGTGTGTGTGTGTGTGTGTGTGTGTGTGTGTGTGTGTGTGTGTGTGTGTGTGTGTGTGTGTGTGTGTGTGTGTGTGTTCACAAAGCATCTGGTACCTGGTTGTCTATCTTGATCTCTGTGAGTGTGTCGTTGTCTCGCAACGCATCAACTAAACTCTGCATCCCGGCCCCGGTGATGAAGTTAGACTCCAAGTTCAAACTCCGCAACGTCTTGTTCTCTCGCAGCATGTCACTGAACACCTGCGGGGGAGGAAGAGGAAGGAGGAAATATGTAAATATGGAGTTGTCAGGTGTCCACAGACATATTAACAGCCCACACGCAGCTCTCCCTCACCACCGCGACTGGGTCGTTACTCCGCGTTGCTGCCAGGCTGAACTTCTTGACGCTCGTGTTCTTCTCCATGGCTTTGGCAAATTCCTTCAGTGTTGGAATCGGGATGTTCTGGAAAAGCAACAAAGAAACGCTGTCATCGGTCCAAAGATAGATAAGCATATATACACTGATAGCATGTGTTTCTGCTTACTTTAATGTTGTTGAGGTTGACCTCTGTCAAGGAGCTGTCATTGCTTTTTATCCTCTGCAGAGTTTCGTCAACATTAGTGGGATTGGGAGGCTCATCAAATACTGGGGTCATCTTCTCCCCTTTGATCACATCTAGAGACACCCAGGCAGAGGTCAGGTTAACATGCTACATGCTTTGAATAAACAGTTATATTCAATGACTGTACTTACTGTTGTAACCCTCTTTAGATGAGGTCCCATCATACGTCTGACTACTGGTGACCAGCGTGTGAACACCCAGTATCGCTGTGAAACAAAAGTCAGCAGCCGTGGGCAGAAATCAGTGTGTACGCACGTGTCCAGTGAATGAAAAGTAACTCAATCTAGAGGCCGTAGCAGAGAAGAGGTTTTATTTTGCTCAGTTAGCCCTTTTATTCCCCTATCAACACCAACAGTAAAGGAAGGAGGCCTGGGAAGGACAGTCAGAGACCAGGCTCAACAGGCCCTTTCACAATGACTACTAAGCTCTCTCAAAGGTGTTTCTTCTTACCTGCTAGATCACACAGTTCCGTGTCTGTGGCGCTGGACAGGGCTTCCTCTAATTCTGGATCGAGGGTTGTGATTTCCTCCTGGCGTGTTTCTATTGGTCTCTGCTTAGGAATGAATACTTTACCTAGGAGGGAAAAGATGGTGAGTGAGTCAGCCCTCATAAACATGGGCGGGCAATCAATTACAGAGACTTCAACACAGACGGATGAAATGAGTACATGATGCAGGCAGCGTCAGGTTCTTTGAGAAGTTACACAACGTCACATTTATATAAAACTGTTCACTTTTGAATAATGTGACACATTGTTCTACATACATTGCTATCCTCTTGCCTTGTGCCAGTCATACGTTTGCAAGACTGCCAAGTGCTGTCTGCGTGTGTCCAAACAGGCCCAGATCAAGCAACTGTATGATTATAAACACACATACGTTTGGAATTGACACCAAGCAAGCGTTCCCTCTCCAATGCACATGTCTCGGCTAGTTTACTTAAATCAAGCTTTCAGTTACTTAGATATTGGATATGGTAGTAGATACCCATTCGGTCAGTGTTTCAAAACCTTAAACCTACCCAATGTTATGGAATGAAGAAAAAAATAATCAATTGAAGATTTTAGTTTAGGCCAAGTTAATAATGAAAATGTTTCTGAAGTCTGAACAACAACATGTGCCATTTAAATAAGACTGGGCCTCCTGCTATTTCACACAACATTCAGACCGGCAGAACTCAGTCTGGCAGAACTGTCTCACAAATTTGGCATCACCATGGTAACCTATCTGAGGCAAGAAACGGAAAGAGCGAAGGAAGTCACGGAACAATGAAGGGAGTCTAATCTGAACCGCACTGCTGGGGCAACACACACTGAGAGACCATGCAGTGGGTGCCATTTGCTCCAATCTGCCTGTCGCCTTACACAAAAACACCCCAAGAACAGGCAGCCCCCCCTCCTTCCATCCCTCCAAGTCAGTCAAGCTAGTCAAATTGTTCATACTGGTCCCAAATGGGGGCTCTGGCACTTCCTGAGGGCCAGTAAACAGTAAAATACAGTCATCGGGCCGCCTCCTGTGCCAGTCCCTCTGGAGAGACATTTAGAGGCAGTGCTGAGAAGACGGAGCCAAGAGACAGACGTCCTGTCACTTGTATGATCCCACATGAGTGTATATCATGGAGTAAACTAACTAATTAGACCAAACAAGGCAAGACAATAACGCAGTGTCTGCTCGACACTAGAGATTATATTCAGTCAGGCAACAGATTGTGTCATTCGTGAAAACCTAATTTATGTGACAAGTCGTGCATTAATCGCTGCTATTCACAAAAGAAGAACACATAATACATCATGGGTGTCGCATGCTGAAAGCAGTACTCTAATGTTGTTTTTAATGCAAGACAACAGTACAATACCTAAATGATAATTCCAATCGATTACGATTTGGGTCTGTATTTGAAAATGATTTTATTGGATTAGGATTACATTTTAGATGCTAAATGACTAGCTAAGTGATATACAGATGTATAACAAAGGAGAACAAGCCTTCATTGCACAGAAACAACTGTTTGAATGGAGCAAGGGAGATGTGTCTGTTGAATCGTTCTGTTAGTTTGTGGAAGGTTAAAACAAACAGTAGTCCAAATAAGTTTCTTTAAATCACAGATAAATATGCCAAACAAATTAAATATGATGTAATCAACCAGAACAACCCTATTAACTTAACATTTAGTACATCTTTAGCAGCACATTTGTGGTAACTGATGTCATTTGCAGTACCACGTCCCTGTTACACATGGCTGCCTAATGGCAAATGCTTTTAATGTGAAAGCAATTTATTAAAAAAAACCTGTATACTGGAGGCGTGTGATAGAGCTGCTCTGTGTTGTCATTGGTCAACCAGCCACTCCCTCCACTGTAACCTCAACAAACAAGATGTTTATCAGACTTGAACAGAAGCCTTCCCTGAACGCTTTAATTACGTGTAACAAGTTATATTCCTTTACGCTGACGCATGATGATAATGTCAACTTAAACCTCAACCACTGGAAAATACAATCACAAGCATTCATTCACCAATCCCCATCCAACCAGAACACAAATGTCAATTAGAAAGACAAAACAATGGATTCTAGCACATAATAAAAAGTGACTCGTACAATAGGGTGGTTAAAAGGCTGCAGAGGGATTTAAGCAGGCAGTTTTTCCTCTGAATAATGTGTGTGTTACTAAGAGGAGACACACACACACTCATGACCACATTATTTATCAGCAGGGGGTGAGTTTAACAAGGGGAAGAGCTGCATTCCACAGAACCACCACAGTGATTTGTTTTCCATGTTGTCATAGGGCGCACACACAATCATGCATGCGCACACACACACATTCAAACACATCCGGAGTATAATTTCTAACAGACCAGGGTTGGGTCAGGGGTAAGATGTCAGCTCCATTTTTCTTCTCTGTAAAGGGAGTAGGGTTAAGATCTTTGGAGATCCCAACAAAGACAAGGAAAGAAAGAAAGGAAAGGAAATCCTCTGGACAAACATGTATAATGTTGCTACACTCTCTATGCTAAAAAATATTTAACACCTCCTTTTCCCTCTTCTATCAAGTGACTAAGATGACTAAAAGTTGGTCTGAATACCTGTTAGACCAGACCTGGTTTCTCTCAAGAATATCAGGTTTATTCCGTTTTTAAAAAGGAACATTTTGTCTATTACAAACTCAGGAGTCCTCTGACAAAGGAATTCCCTCATCCCACATTCAAGGCCTTGTCTTTAACCTCCTTCAATGTCAATGCTAAGGGCTTGCTAAATAGCCTTGGTATATACTGTAACTGTGTGAGTAACACATACAACCACTGCTCTAATATAAAGATTAGTGCTGTGCCTGTTCGGAACAGGCCAATAGCTTGGCTTCTAGTTTTGATTATCTGCCAACAACTTTACATTCACACTGCGCTTCCTTGGGTCCAGAGCAATACATCTACAGTAGCATGACATAGCTGCATCGCCCAGCAGAGCATAAGGATGGTTTAGCTCAAACAAGCATTGAGCCAGGGTGAGCTCTCCCCAGCATGCTAGGTGGGGTTAGAGTTAATAACTGGTCCTCACTCAATTCACAACAGAGTGTGCACAGAACACGCTTTTAACACATTTCCCCCTTAGATCTCAAGAGCTCGCGCTTAACACTGCACTTCCTTGGGTGCTGAGTAATACAGCCGCACAGTGGGCAGTCAAACCGAACATCATTATTAAGAAATATAAAGGACCGTTAAACAAACAGATACTCCTTTAACTTTAGCTTGCTCGTTTTCTTAAGGCATTAAGACTTATTGTATAGTTAGGACGTGAGAAAAGGTCCACAGCTGGACTCACATTAGGCTTCTTTAACCAGCGAGCCCCAGAGACATTTCAGACTTAAAGAATCCCTCCCAGTAAAATAAGCCTCAAGGCGCAGAATTGCATAGTTATGTCGGAGAAAAGGTCATCAAGTCACTGTTTACTCATCTCGAGAAACTAAACAACTAAGTGGACAGTGGATTCAAGACATTGAATGCTAACGTTGCCTCCTCCTTTGACACTCTTTACCTCCTATCCCCTGGTACAAGCTCACCTCCCCCACACTGCTGTGTGTTGCATAAGAGCAGACATGCATTACAAATACGTGCATAGACAGCAGAACAGTAATTACAGCTGTGTGTCTGAACCTCTGATACAGACCCACACACAAACAGACACACTCCTCATCCCCTGAGAAACACATCACTAACATGTGAAAGCACCGCACTAGATTGATGAGAGTTACACAATGTAACAACGTATGGCATCGCTAGTGGAATTTGTTTTGTTTTATAAATGAAATGTTAATATAAAGAAAAACACGTGACAAAATGTTTGACTCTTGATTTCTTGTCATGGGAAGCTTGCAAAACTGTGAATATTCTTGTTGGGAAACACACCTTTCCTCTCCCCAGTGAAGGACACTACATCGTCTCGGTCCTTGTACTCCATGGCTTCCTTCTCCAGGTATTTGAGAAGGCCATCCCTGCTGAAAGTTCCTGTCTCTTGCTTGGTCGTCTGGTCCTTCTGACGCATGCCCGCTGGGAGAAGAGCATTCTGAGGAGAGGAGACAAGGACACATATTAGACCTGTCACCGGATGAAGACTTCAATATAGACCATAGACCATATAAACAGCTTTCGAATTGGGTAATGGGTAAATGTAAAATGTGGGTTTTTAAGCTGTTTATGTATCTGTATGTCTTCTATATGAATAGAAAATATCCATTGTTGCAATCACATTCATTGTTAACACTGTGAATTGCAACTATGCTGCCCAATTCAGCTCATGTCAGTAGTAGTATAACTCAAACCTTATAGCAAACATTATAAAATAATAAAAAGTAATTATTTAGGTGAGTCAAAACTTGGGGGAAGATGTGTGAAAACTTCAGAGCTTTTTTCTGTGAAACTACTTTTTATTAATATGTTCCCACTATAGCTGACTGTTTCCTGTGGGCCATGAGGGGTGGTTTATTTCACTCGGCTTAGATGGAATTTAAATAAAACGCCCAGGCGTCTGGGGGGATTTCATTATACTCTCTTTAGCTCTACTCACAAATAAACACACAAACACTTGGCAGCCTGCGGACAGAGCTGCTGCAGCGGAGAGATGTTTCCAGCATAGAGGCTGGGGACAGGGACGTGTGCAGAGGAGAAATCCACCCTCGATTTCAAGATGTGATGTTCAATGAAACTGTGATGATGTGATATAATATGTATGTTGATGGACTTATTCCCATTACCATTTCTAGCTACTCACCAATGTCCACTTTCTACAGCTCACTACACTCAACCGGCCTAAACTAGTTTGTACCAGGTAAAACTAGGTGTATCTGTTAAGAAAACTGGGGTATGTCTGTGTACCTTATTTGAGAAAATGAATTGCAAATATATTTTGACTGCATACATTTCCCATGATTCTCTTTGCCACAGAACTCCCTCCCACTAAAGAGTCCCCCTCACTGTGTCCTGACCTCAGGGTCCATCTCCTCGAGGGCCGTCTCCAGCTGTTTGAGCTCCTCCGCCGACAGGTTGTTGAGGATCTCATCTTCGTCGAGATCCTTGTACTTTTCCAGGTCCTTCTTGAATGACAACGCCATGGTGCGGGCTAAATCTTGCTTTGCAACACTGAACAGCGGACCACAGCCACAATGTTTCCTCTCGAGCTCACTGCTCCGGACCAGGGCGAGGCTACCTGTAGACCAACACACACATTCATGATGGTGGGGCTTCAAATGTGCTTCATTTAGCTAACTTAAACAATGTAACCTAATTATATCCAAACAGAGAGAAATGTTGATCTCCTCCCTGTGAAACAATAGTCGCTCAGCAGCTGGGTTTGGTAATGGAGCCTTGCAATGATGCAACACACACACACACACACACACACACACACACACACACACACACACACACACACACACACACACACACACACACACACACACACACACACACACACACACACACACCACACACACACACACACACACACACACACACACACACACACACACACACACACACACACACACACACACACACACACACACACACACACACACACACACACACACACACACACACACACACACACACACACACACACACACACAGCTGGAACAAAGGAAGAACTTTCTCAGGCTCAGAAAATCATCAGACCACTCCCACGGGAATCAGCAACAACTTTGTGGTACTTTGGAAAACATTAACAACTTAACCGAAGAAGCTTATCCTACGTGGGTCAGGGCTTCGTGGAGTAAACTGTAAGTAGATAAGTTAAGATTAAATAAAGCTGAGATAAGTGGAACAGTGAGAGATTCAGTGTGTGCACCCTGTCAAACAAAATGAGGAGGCTCCAGCTCCCTCTCCCACGCCACAGCCCCAACACTCAATGACCTCATGACTCCACAGATGGTTTTATTCCCAATCACACACACGCTTCCTCTTAGACTACACTGTCCCAAATATAATCAAGGCAAAAATAAACACTTCTTTTAAGAAAGACAAAGCTTTGTTTTACATTTCAGTTAGTCGACACTCTAATCCAAAGTGACTAAGTGTAACTACATACACCTCCTATTCACGTCTAGTGAGAAATACAGCAACATCTTTACACTCTGTAACAGCAGAAAAAATAACCTGTGCTTCCAAGGATTCTTTCAACTGTCAGTGCCATTTCCCCGGAGCTGCCCGAGTGGTTTCTTTTCTGAGTTCAGAGGAATTCCCTGAGAGTCTGTCGCTGAACTGTTCACTGCTCCACAATCCAGCCTCTAATTCTCCCCCTCATCTCCTCCATTAGACCACTAATGGAGCTACAAACATATATTTCTGAAATGGTTATGAGAGTCATAGCCGGGGCAATTGCCAGCCTGAGAGCCAGCAGATGAAGCTGGGCTCAAATGTCAGTGCTGATTACTTTAATCAAACCGTATGATATAATGTGCAATAATAATAATGTCACCCAAATGTTCCACCAGTAATGTCATGAGATAGAGAGTCAGTACAGTACAGTAAGCACAGCACAACTGGGAGGAAGGAGAGCAGCCATTTAAGAAGCAATGTAGCTAAGCTAATGGTGCTTCTGAATCTGAATGGAATACAAATGTGAAAACAACTTTTTAACTGAGCATTATATTTGATGGATCAAACGTATCCCATGAATGCGAAACACATGAAAATACTTCTGCGTCCACAAAAGCAGTCTTCTGTACTGTGATCGTGGAACAGTGCCAGGAATCGGTTAGCATGACGTCATTCAAAGCCTTTGCTCGCATGATTTGGAAAGAAGGAGTTTTGATCATCTTTCATAATCAACTCAGATGGGACAGGGACAACCCAGGGAGACTACTTTAATTATCTGAAAGCGATGACATTTTCCTCCACACCAGTTTGATCTTTGCTAGCCACTGAGAACATAGGAAAAGCAGAAGTTTGAGTATGACTTCTTTGGCCTAATTTGTATGTAACTTAACCTCATATTGAGCAGAGGGCACAATGAGATGACAACTCTGCTGATGGCAGTCTGGGACAAGTGTTAGATGACACACATGCACATAATGCTCTTATGACAAGGTCAGCTCAAAGTAACACCGTTAACCATCTTATCCTACTTTCCACTTCCCTGACATAACTACTCAACGCATTTCAAATTCACCTTTAACAGTAAGGTCCAGTAGATTCGAGCGTGCACACAGAAGAGTAATGGAGCATGCAGACAGGGGTAATGATGGCTATGGGTGGGCTGAGGCTGCTGTGGAGACACTGAGAGGATCCATTAGTCCGGTCTGATTGATTCCTTTCTCCTTCTCAGCTAATCCTTCAGGACAACAACAGATGGCTCTGAGCCAATAATACACTCACCTTTCACTTACATAAACTGACCAGTTCACTCAGGTACTGTTTGGATAACATAAACATTTTAGTAAGGATCGCAACCTGGCTAATTTAAGCAACACTTTAAGATGCATGATCCCATTTACAAAGTTAAATCAAGCCTTTACAGAAACATCTCATCTACTGTTTGTCTGCATAAAGAACAAATCAACTGCAATTGTATCCTTGATTGTGCATAGCCTGTTATAAAGTTAAACTATGAGTATGAATCAAAATATGTTTCTTTCCTGGGCAAAGTATTGGCAATGTTCATTAAGAAATAAGGTCACAGAATAGGCCTATGATTTTGTTTTTGTAATCCTCATTGTGATGTCAATTTTCGTGATTAACACATAGCTAAAGAATGCAAGTGCATTAGTTTGTAAGAGACTATCGTAAAAAACGAAACTTCTAAATATTTATATAATTATTTTTCTATTGGTATTGAGTTTAATTTGGCTCAATAAAAAAATGTCGGAAGAAAAATAAAGTGTTTTATTCAATGAGTATTGGGTTTTATAATGAAACCAGCATCAAGCCAAAGTGAGTACACTTTAATAAATTATTCTTTATTGCATGATCTATCATAATCACAATATATCCATATGTTTTATTATATCATGTAACCCTATTTAGTCAATTAAAAGAGGAAAAAGACATACTACATGTATCTCCATCAAGTATAGCTTTTGTTACCAATATCCAGGTTGCCAGTTTTAGATCCCTGAGGTCGAAGCCGTAGGAAAAATTACTCGCAGATCAGAGATGTACAGGAAGCCCTAACTGGTTATTATTATATTATTATAGAGCATCGCCCAGTCAACCCACAAAAAGACTATAGTTAGAATGGCCGAGCTCTGCTACCCATGAGACAAGAGTCTGCACTTCCTCCTACCACCTACCTACTTGAATTCTCTACCATTCCGTCTCTCCTCCCTGTTGTAACTCAGTTCTCCTCAATCCTTTTATCATCCTCCCCCTGAGGTGCCTGGAAGTGTCAGAAATTATAGAGAACGCATGGAGAGAGAAATATAGCAACAGAGGGTCTAATCATGCCGTTCACTATAATAAATGAACATGTAAAAACAATAAGAACATATATGTGTTTACATATCAATGGACATTTTTGTATTTTACGTGTGGTAATATAAACACATGTCAGAAAAAGAAAACAACAATCATTCATGTAGTTCATTCACTTAAGCATGTTGTATCCCTCAAACTTTTGTACAAGGGCCAGACAGGAAGTGTTTCTCAAACAAACACACACTATTAGCAAACTACACCGTTTCAATGACACACTCCAGACACACAGCATTAATACATAATGAGAACACATTTCAAGTTGTGCCTTGACTCTCATCTTGAGAAGGTCTTGCCCTGGTTTGACTATGAATGATGCTGTCCAAGAACAGTAACCCCTTTTTACGCCTTTGTAAAAAATGTAAAGACAGATGTTAATCGCTACTGTGACTGTAGAACATCCATAACATTCATCTGGCTGCAACTTACAAATGATGCATCTAATATATCATATTCCAATCACTTGTACTCTTATTGCACTATTTCTTTTGTGTTTACTTGCACTATTTTTCAGTTGTATTGTGTTGCACTGTTGGTGGAGCCTGTGACCTAAGATTGTCACCGACATAACTACACTGTAGCTATGTACGTATGACAAATAAAAGCCTTGCAACGCACCCATAGCCAGGTTTCACTCACACAGTGAAAGGTAAGCAGGAAACCAAATCCTGTGTGATGAGCCTGTTTATCTGCAATACTGCAGTGCAGAGCGTGGTGTTGTAGGCACTGGCAGTATCAACACAAATGCCATCTCAGCAGTCACTAGGACATTCCTCAGTTACCTGCTGCACCCCTTCAGCAGGGCAACCTAGCTCCAGGCTTCCAAAAGCAGACGTCCTCCTTAAGACTTGGACCACACCCTTCATTCACCATTGAGCCCTGCTGGTCAAACTACCTTTGTGAACTCACAAATACACATCCATATTAGCTTCTACACAAAGAATGTGTCTGTGGTAGACTCAGTGACACATGTACAAAGACCTTGCACCTATCATACAAGAAGAACTGCTGCTAAAGCCACATCATTTTACCTCACCGTCCACACTGGTGTGAGTCACCCCACCAAAACGACCTCCTTAAAAAAACACTGAAACTCTTGTCTTAGTAAAACAGACAATCGAGGTATTGATGTCCTGGCTGTCAACGCATTCAGGCGGACAGGGAGGGGCTGAGACGCATTTTTCTTATATTGTTCTTACAATTTGGCACAGTACACAACAAAACAAGAACCAGCCGATCATTCGAGGATACTTTATACTGCATAGCACCAACATATCATACCGCACTACTCATATTATATTCACGTCAATTTATTTATTTGGTGGTAAATTAACAGCCCTAACTAATATACAATAATCCATATCTTGTGGACACATCGTAACGGTGTTGGCTAACTCGATCTTGACATGTTTATGATTACAACACTCACAGTAAGCGTGTTGATAGTGATTAACATGCTAGGTAAAACACAACACACGTTAACTGTTAAGCAGTTTATTTGACTATAGTTTGCGAAACAGCCCTATGACATGTAGCAGCTAACAGGCTAACAGTGGACTCAAGTTGATAGCCGTTTAGCTAAACCAGCACAAGTGACAGTATGTTGAACAGTACGGCTAGCAAGTTCGCTGAATTCACATACTAACTCTAACCCCCCGAAGTATTTATTTTCTTACCTGAGGCTAATGGGACCTAACTAAAAAATCTCCAAATATCGCCAGTCTTCCCAATGAAAGCGATGTCTCCAGTGCTTGATTTCTCTCTCAGCCCAAGGGCGGTAACACAGGAAGGGAGAACCAGAGCATTCCCCGAGTGACGTCTGAATTACCCAACAGGCAGAGATTATTTTGGGTGGTAACCAATAGCGTACATTGTCCCGCCCTTTTGCACCGAAACGGACAAATTAGATGAGAGATCGGAAATATAATAAAATATGTTTCCACTGTGCAATACTTTATTACTTTTACTTACATTTTCCCTTTATTCATATCCAGTTAACAAAGAAGGAAAGGCTTTATAAATATATATTTAAAAATATAACATTATTTAAAAAAAAAATATTATTACTGTACTTAGATCTCAGTAAGTATCTTACCATTAATCATTATTACAATGAATTACATAATCAATTATATGACCACGAAAAGCAGTTAATAGGCCCATGAAAAAACTGGTAGGTGGACCTTGAGTTAAGAATTTAATTTTGCCCCACCTACTAAACATTAAACTATTATGAGATGAGATGGGTGCTATACTAAAAGTAAGGCTTACAGAACATTTCGTTTTTATCAGAATAAACTAAACCAACAGCCCACTTAAAATAGAGGAATTAGATAAGATGTACTTTATTGATCCCAAATTATATTATTATTATTATAATAATATGTACAGTTTTGTGATGTGTATGGTATAGCCCAAAATTACATTTTGCACAAACAACCAAACCCCATTGTTATATTGAAGATGAGTACAAAGAAAGGTTGAGTGTAATACGTTTATTTTCTTACAGCAAAATGTTAGTGTTTGAAGTGAAGTCTGTTCATGCATCAAAAAAGATGCAAAGCATTTTCCATAGTGCCAAGAAGTGAACCACAAATTCCAAAGACCAGACAGACTATATAAACATATGCAAAACTAGAGCATTTCTATCTCTTTTTGTCGTTCGCTACCTCTTTCAAAAAAATATACAGTGTCTAGTACACTATAAACTTTAAATTAACTTTGATTCTAAAGATAGAGGGCTGCTCGTTCTTTTCTTTTTTTCAGACTGTGTTGCACAATAGAGGAGATAGGATGTCTTGTGCCCAGACATTTCACATGTATGTGCACTGTTACAAGATCCCTAGCATGTAACACTACACAGAAACTACAATCCACTAGAGGGGTTGTAATGTAGGCTACTAAAGACATCTTTACTGTCATTTTAATCCAGTTTTACAACAAAGGATAAATGCAAATACAGTAGACCTCTGTCTGCTGAAGGTGAAGACAGGGTTTACTGCAGCATGATGTCATAATATTTATTTTTTGAACCATTAATTTGCTGTTTTCTGGCCCACAAAGATAATTCATGTGCACAATACATACATGACTACAAGCATAGGGTACATCAAACACATATATAAATTAACCAATAACATGACACAAATACAACTTTTTAATCTAGTCATGACATTGCAAATATTTCACAAATGAAATATAGATGTACTTTATTATACTTTGAAATGCAATAGGCCTACATGCTTTTCGTCTATTAGGCCTACACATTAATAAACGTTTTAGCAGCTTCATTATTTTCAATCAAATAATGGTAGCTATAGCTTACCATCCTAAGGTTTGAAATGTTAAGAATTTAGTTTTACTGTTAAATTGTTTTCTCAGTTTCTTTGCATAGGCCTACGTCTTTGTTGCTGGCCATACCCTTTTCGTAATAAACTGTATATTATTTTAGTATAAGTGATAGGAAAGTGAAGGAAATTTGGGAGAAAAATCTGAAACAAGATAGATAGCATTGTAAAGCTGGGAAAACAAGATAGCATTATACAGCTGGAAAATATATATATAAAAAACTGAAATATATTGTTTATATATGAAATGTTTGCATTTATTGGAGGATTACATGTTGAGAGAGAACAGCAGAGCCTCAGAGTTTACTGTGGTGTGGACCCTTGACGTTTAAGTGTGTACCCCCTTCTTGTGGCTGACTTCGCTCACTACACAAACATGTCCGCCGCGGATTGAACTCGGAAACAAAACCATCCCTGAGCCGGGCGATCATTTCCTGTTAGGTCACATTGTTGCTGCCACAGTTTGGAAGAAATGGCGGACATGGATGATTTGTTCGGGAGTGATGGGGACAGCGACAATGAGCAGCGAGGTAAAACTGTCTCTCAGTCGGTGAAAATAGTATTTCTTGATTAATCTAGTTTATAGCGATGTCGAGTGTTTCCCGATGCTAACCATGTTAGCATTAGCTCTGCCCGAACATTACCCCGGTGTAACGGTGTCGGTATCTAATATTATTTAAAAGCTAGCTATATGAGAAACGAGTCAACGTTTATTCTTTAGTTCGCATTAAAAAGCTAGCTCTCTGTATTTGTATGAACCCGCTTATTTAGCTGAGCTGCAACAACAGTGCAGTTTGTATCTCCAGCACATGCTCTCATCAGCCAAACAACACTTAGCTTTGTTAGTTTGGCCAGTGGAAAAACAAGCGAGTGAAAAAACGCTCTAACTGCTTAAATCATGTATTAAGATTGTATTTATTCAATTCCAAAATGTCAACACTACAAAGGTTAAAAATAACCTAGTACTTATTTCACAGACATAATCAGAATAGGCCTACCTGTATTAGTCCCACAGAAGGGAACTTTACATTGTTATGGCAAAAACAAGAGGCAATCTAAATAAGAGGCATGCATAACATATTAAAGATGGAAATTAAACAAATTCCAATTTACAAAAGTACCGTTCCAGGTTATCCAGTAACAGTATTTATAAAATTAAAAAAAACATAATAAATACGTTTAGTAGTATCAACCAAATCACATGCAATATTACAAACACATGTTGCAGAGGAGGGAGCGAAACGGCAACGTAGCTGCTTAATGTCTTTTTTTTTTTTTTTTACATGTCTCGTAGTTTACTCCATTGAGTGTTGACAAGAAACACGTGTAGACGAAATATGTGTTTTTATTTTTGATGTTTTCATTTTTTTTTTTTGTAAGGCTTTTATTCTGTATTTAAGTTCGTGGCATTGACAGTACTCTGCATGTATTTATTTGTTCCTCTTGTTATGGTTGGTGTACCAAATACTAAGGCACATTTGTTTAAATCTTAAACACTAGGCATACTTTGCAATAAACATTATTCTGGTTTTGATTCTGATATGTACACCTGTACCATTTTTAATAACGTCTATTGGTGTTTATATTGATATAGAACTGTGCGAGAGCAATTAGGATGAGCTACACTCTGTCCCAGAATAAATAATGAATGCTCATTGCTTTATTGTGTTTCAGCAGTGTCTGTCTCTGGCTCCGGTTCAGACTCGGAGCAGGAGAGACCCCGATCCGCCAGCAACGCCTCGGGCAGCGGCAGTGAGAGGGAACGGGACGATGAGGACGGCCGGGAGACAGGAAAAGCCAGCATTAATAAGGTGTGTGTTTGAAGAATGACACTCTTTGTGGATTTACTCTGACCCCTGTCCAATAATCACTCAAACATTTACTATCATTTAATAATATGTTTAGAATAGCTAATAAATCCAACAGCCCGACGACATTAACAGTGAGTTCAACTTTTCTGTCTGACGTTCTTATTTTATCGTGTCTGGTTTTTATATCTGAGACATTATACTAAGGCGTAACTACTTGGAAAAAGGTTTAATTGCACTTGTTTTGACCAATATGCAATTGCATTATTATTCAACATATTTGAGTGATCTTTTTTGCATAATTATTCTCGTTTTTTATATTAAAATGTAATGGTTTGATTTTTTTAAATGGAGATCTGTTCTAAACAAATACATTCTTGTAAGTGTGCAGAATATAGTTTGTAGCCTGGGACATCTTTGCAGCAAAATGTAGTGTATTTTGAATCAAATAATAAAGCTCCTGCAATTTGGTTATTTTACAAGTCATATTGCAACTTTGACAAAATTCTGATTTATTGTTCAGCCCTAACTTGACTGCTTATTATCAAAAGAGTAGGGGAAAATATGAAACCCTGAATACATGTCATATGTATTGCATGTATACATGTAATCACAGAAATGTAAATAAAGTGTGTAAGCTAATTAGGAAAAGGTTAAAAGCAGACACACTTGGAGATTCTGCTGACCATAGAATTAAAACCCTAACTATGGACTGATAATAAATACTGTTTTTTTACATTATGTCTGTCTACCCCACCTTCTGACACCAGGGGTCAGCCATCATGGATAAAGTTCTACCCTACTAGAACCACTGATTCATTTATAATCATTGTGTACTCCTCTCTCATCTAACTTAACTTTATTTCAACCTAATAGGAGCTGTTTGGAGACGACAGTGAGGACGAGCAGCGCAGTCAGCACAGTCCTCGCAGTCAGCACAGTCCTCGCAGTCAGCACAGTCCTCGCAGTCAGCAAAGTCCTCGCAGTCAGCACAGTCCTCGCAGTCAGCACAGTCCTCGCAGTCAGCACAGTCCTCGCAGCGGCAGCGACAACCAGTCTGAGCGCTCAGGGAACCAGTCAGAGGCCAGCATGCACTCAGACCAGGGGGATCACTCTGAAGCAGAGCAGCACAGTGGCGCAGAGCAGCACAGCGACGCAGAGCAGCACAGCGGCGCAGAGCAGCACAGCGGCGCAGAGCAGCACAGCGGCTCAGAGCGCGGCCGTCGAGACGAGGATGAAGACGAGGAGGAGAGGGGCCACCAGTCGGACAGAGGAAGCCCGGCTGGCAGCGCGATGTCTGGAGGGGGAAGCCCTCGCTCCGAGAGGGGCAGTGCCCGTTCAGACAGAAGGTAAGCCATAAGGATTTGCTTCATTGTTAAACTGAAATAACATGACATGATGCCAGAGGGGACCCCAACTAAAACACAGTACTTTAGTTAAGTATAACAATGCCAAGTTATTATGTGACCTTTTAACACTGTCTAAGAGCATGTACTTGTGTTTATTCATCTATCAAAAGTCCATCCTGTGTAGTCAGAAGACCTGATTTTAATTTCATCCAAATGTATGTTTATATCCAGTGTGCACAGCGAACCTGGGACTCCGCAGTCAGCGCCAGGCACACCTCACAGTGATGGAGAAGCTTCTGCCAGGGAGAA